TTTTCTTTTTTTGTATTTATATATTTTTATTTATTTATTGATTCCTTTCCCCATCCTGGCCGGGATCAAAATACAACCCTCTGGTTCTTAGGGCAGTGCCCCATCCTTGAGCCACCCTGAGCAACCCTGGCACAAACGAAAAGGCTCTTAGGCCTATGCCCCCAAACTAACTGCGTCACAGACGCTTCCAAAATGGCGGCCGCAAGTGCAGCAACCAAAACTACAGCCCCAAGATGGCGGCCGTTGCCGCCAAATCAAAATCAAAATGGCGCTGATGAAATGTACGTCCAACAAAAGCGCCAGCCGTGGCGCGCAGCCAGCGCCCTGGGGCATCTATACGTCTCGCCCCCTCAAAGATGCGCTGCGCGCCGCTTGAATCACGGCCCTTTCAAAAGTGCCTGCCGTGATCACGCAGCCAGCGCCTTGGAGCATCCCAACAGCAAGCTCCGTGCCCAGGCGTGCCGCGCGCCGGTTAAATTGCGGCCTACACAACAACGCCGCAAGCATAAGAGAAGACAAGCGGCGCCATGCCGCTCGACTCGCGGCCTGGCCGGCGCAGGAGGCAAAAAACGGCGAGGAAACGCGCCTTGGCCCCCAGCGCCCTCGCCGGAGGGCGAAAACACAAAAAGAAAGGGGCCAGCGGCCGCAGCGGCTGCACCGCACGCCGCTCGCCTTGCGGCCCAGCCAGCCTCCAAAAGAAAGGACGGCGAGGGAAACGGCGACCGCCGCTCCCACGCCCTGCCCCATCACCTCCGGCCGAAGCTCCAAGCCGGATCCCCAAGGGAAGGAGAAGCAGCGCCCTCCTTCCCAGTCAGCTCCAAGACCGACCTGGAGCTCAGCGACACACGTCTTGCCTCTCGGAAAGTCAGACAAGACTGAAGGTAAGAGGCTGGCTCACGTGGTAAGCCAGCCCCCGCCCCTCTTCCAGGAGGTTCTAAATGGAACCTCCCATTCTCTCCCTTCAGGGGGTGGGGCAAATCGCTCTCCCCACCAACTGCGTTGGTGTGGAGAGTCCCATAGAAGCAAACAACTCAAAAGTTCCCTTTCTTTGGGCTCATCATGAATCTACACTGGTGTTAAAAACTGCTATACTTTATCTGTCTGTCAGCTGAGATAGCATGGATCCAAGACACATGGAACAAAATCTTGGGACTTTTCTAGGGACACTGGTATAATTTGCTACCATTCAGGATTCTAACTTTAGATGAAATTCTCACAATAATGGATGGAAATTATATTTTTCCCAGTAGGATGTGTGAACTATTCCCAATGAATAGAAGTCAATATTAATAAACACAATTGTTTATTTCCATAGAGTGTGGCCACAAGGGCTATCATGATGCATTTATATCACTACACAACTATTCCCAGTAGGATATGTGAACTATTCCCACTGAATTGAGGTCAATATTGATAAACACAATTGTTTATTTCCATAGAGGGTGGCTACAAGGGCTATCATGATTTATTTATATTAGTACACTACTATCTATCAAAATAGACTAATAATGTTTGTTGAATGGAGATAATGTGACACTTCATTTATAAATATTTGTGAGAACCTTTGAACTAGTGAAGCATTGCCAAAGAGCTCTGTTTGGATAGTATTTACCTCTATGCTTGATATGTTGGTATGAATAGTAAGATGCACCACAAGCTGTTAAAAGACAGATACTGTTCTTCCACCCTGATGATCTAAGATTCCTTAGCTATTTTGCTGCAAGGTGACTTCTTACCTTTTTATTGACTGTTTACTTTAGATTCTCTTTTCTGCTTCCTTTGCTTCTGACCTAAAAATAGATCTGACTCCTAGGACTTTGAAACAAGGTATATAACTTAATTTCACTACTGGGGAAGGGGGAACCTTCCTTATATCAGAAATTTTCTCCTCCTAGTACTGAACACTAATGTATTACATGGATAATAAAATCCGATCTGCTTTGTGTCTGTTGGTTATCTTTATACTTACAATTGCAAAATATGGGTCACATTATGGGATACAAAATATACTGTGCTGCAATAAAACAAAGGAAGCAAACCAAAACGTCTTGGGCAACACACAATGATGTGTCAAACAAATTGCATTGCAGTTGAGGAGTAATGTAATCATTTATCAAAGAAAATGTATTTCAAATGCGACACTTGCATACACATCAAACAACAAACAATTCTGATGTCTGAAGGGCAACGTAAGGTGGCATATTCAAGCAGCAGGTATTTCTACTCATCTGGCAGCATACACTCTCCAGTAACATGACAGCAATATGAAATGATCTGAAATGAAAAGTTTCAAAAACTGTACTGGTAAATTCTTTACATTGGCAGATGAAATATTTTTGAAGAGAAAAAAATGGAAAGTTTCTGTCTTGACTCCTAGAAAAATGGGGGAAGCCCTCCTTTTGCCCCTGCCAGTTTCAAAAGCTCATCTTGTGGGTACAAGGGAGAGGCCCTTCTCCTCTGTGGCCCCCTGACTCTGGAACTCAAGGCCCGGAGAGATTAGGAAAGCCCCTACCTTAGAAACCTTTAAAAAGAACCTCAAGACCTGGCTCTGCCGTTGCGCTTTTGGAGAGTAGCCATACAACCTTATGCTATTTCTCCCCTCAATGCTTTTGTCCTTGGAGTATACCTCCCCCTTGCACAAAGGCCTGTTTACTACCCTGTTTCCCTATGAGCTCTCCCTTTCAAATAATCTGCTCCTTCTATCTCACCCTGAGTTTTAAATCATTTTATTGTACATGCGGCCCGCTCACTGTTATTGTGATTGTTCATTGCATTCTTATGTTTTGTGTTCATTGCTTATTGTATTCATCATGTTTTTGAATTTTACTGTGTTGTTGCTTGCATTTCAGTTTTTATTTTATTGTATTTTACTGTATTGTAATTTGCTGTTTGGGCTCGGCCTCATGTAAACCGCCCTGAATCCCGTTGGGGGAGATGGTGGCGGAGTATAAGTAAGTTTATTATTAAGTGCCTGTATGTCGTGTGAAGGCTTCAGTGCTGAAAACGGAGGGGAAGCAGCATACAATGGGCAAATTGGCTCATCTAACGCAAATTGGCTCATCTAACACTTAGATTTCATGCACAAATTTCCAGATTTAGATCCAACCTCTGGAAGTAGAATTGAGAAAGACTTATTTTGGAAACCAGCCAAGGTAGTGTTATAGGAATATATTCTGATTTTCAGTTTGATGCTCAAAAATAGGTTTATTGGCATTATCTGCAGGAAAGAGAGGAGACTCCAATGAGACTAGAATGATGAGGACAAGTATTATCATCACTGAAAGCCAAGACAATCAAGGAGAACCACTTGTACTACAACAGGTTGCACATCCACAAGAAAGAAAGAATAGTCAGCCCCATATAAATGCCAATTATATTTTGTGACAAACATAAAATTGCCTCATTTTGTTTACTCTGTCCAGTGAAAAGGTAACCTGTTACCTAAAGGAAGATTGTTTAACCTTTAAGAAAGCTCTGTTTACACAATTTATATTTACAGAAATTAATTAAAATAATGGTTTGAGAGGCTAACAATATCTGTCTTTTAAATGTTAGTTCTCATTTATTATTGAAAGATAATAAATGCCAATTATATTTTGTGACAAACAACATTGCCTCATTTTGTTTACTCCGCCCAGTGAAAAGGTAACCTGTTGCCTAAAGGAAGATTGTTTTAACCTTTAAGAAAGCTCTGTTTACACAATTTATATTTACAGAAATTAATTTGGCATGGTTTGAGAGGCTAACAATATCTGTCTTTTAAATGTTAGTTCTCATTTATTATTGAAAGATAGTTTAACAGATTATCCATCTACAGGTCCAGGTGAGTAATCATGTTTGTCTGTTGTAGCAAAGTCAATAAAGCAAGACATGTGTCATTAAAAAAACAACATTTTACTGCACAAAATGGTGTTTGAAAATATATGTAATGGGCAAATGTGACCCTCCAAATGTTTTCAATAATGTATACGTACTTCCTGGGTTATGAACAAATTAGATTCTATAAGTTCGTTTTTAAGCAAAATTTCCATGTAAGTCAGAACAGGTACAAACCTCCCCTTCCCCACTCCCATGATAACTCTTTACATAAGTGAATTTCCCTTTGTAAGAGTAGTTGCATCATTGTCTAGGCTGGCTAGAATTTCTGCAAGTTACATTGTAGTGATGGGCAAGGCTACACATTTTTCATACCTATCTATTTTTTTTTAGAACCAAAGGTGATATAAACAATAAATGAATATACAGAGGGAGAGAAAGAAGAAATGAGGGTACTTATGAGGGATTCTGCATCTACAGAATCAACCATTCACAATCAAAAATATATCCAAAAAGCAAGCTTTTATTTTGGCATTTTATAAAAAGGATTGTTGTTGTTGTTCATTCGTTCAGTCATTTCCGACTCTTTGTGACCTCATGGGCAGCCCACACCAGAACTCCCTGTTGGCCGTCACCACCCCCAGCTCCTTCAAGGTCAATTCAGTCACTTCAAGGATCCCATTCATCCATCTTGCCCTTGGTAGGCCCCTCTTCCTTTTCCCCCCTCAATTTTCCCCAGCATAACTGTCTTCACTAAGCTTTCCTTCTCATGATGTGGCCAAAGTACTTCATCTTTGCTTCTACAATCCTTCCCTCCAATGAACAGTCTGGACTGGTTGGATCTTCTCACAGTCCAAGGCACTCTCAGAAATTTCCTCCAGCACCACAGTTCAAAAGCATCTATCTTCCTTATAAAAAGGATTACTCCATTGTATGTAATCATGGAACTTGAGCATCCACAGATTTTGTCTAGAGTAAAACCCCAGCAGATATAAAAAAAAACCCACTGAGGAGCTTATCTGTTTTAAAATATTATAGAGATGTGTAGATAATATCTTTATCTTAAAGTCCTTAATTATTGGGAGACACTGCTATTAGAGATTAATACCTGATATTAAAATAAAGAAAAATGTAAATATGTTAATTGTTATATAATATTGTAAGCATGTTAAATTGTCTTATAGGTGGGCATGCTGAGTAAACTGTTTTGCCCAGAAGGATATCAGCAGGAATTGATCAGTTTTTAAATATTAAAGCCATTCAAGAGGAAAACAGAAAAAAAGAGGAAAACAGAAGACAGCAGCATTCTATGAAGAGCTGTGAGATTCATCTCAAGAATTTGTTCTTTAACATTTAGATTTATGTTAAAACATAAATTATATGTATTGTTAAGAGTATTTTTGTAACTGAATAGAAGCACAAAAATAAAGTAATTTTTATTCTAAATTACCATATTTATTCAAGTCTAATGCTCATCTTTTTCTGGATAAATTACATTGTCAAAATTAAGGTGCACATTAGATTTGATGGTGCATTAGAATGGCACACATAAATCCACCTTCTTGAAAAGGTCAGAGGAACCTGGAATCCCAGAGGCCAGGAGAGGAAGGTGGGGGCACACAAATAGGCTGTTTCCAGGGGGGCAGTCCCAGGTCTCTGTGATACCCAGAGGAGGAGGAGGAGGAGGGCCTGGCTGGTAACCCAGTACTTCCTGACACTTAGCCACAAATTGTGCCTCCTGAGCTGCCTTCAGATTATCGAAAACACCCCCCTCCCCTGCATCAGACACAGTCCTGTGTGGTTTCCAACTGGCCCCATTCACAAGGCTTTCAAAACCTCCCTCTTGTTTTGCTTGTGAATGAGGCCAATTAGGAATTGTGTGAGGTCAATGAGTTCACTAATCTCGACCTAGCAGAGAGGTGTGGCTTTCCAAATGGCTTCATTCATGCTGCCTGCCTCCGTGACATGCTATGGCTACACAGTTGGACACATTACATTTGAGGGCCAATCCATTTTTGTATAATGTGCACCTTCAAAATTAAGGTGTACATTATATCCAATGGCGATACTTGAGTAAATATTGTATTTGTTCTCATTCTTTCACTTGAATGAACCCTAACTATCTAACATGGAAACAGAATGGCCTGCATAAAATGTTGGTGATAATACTCTCTGTCTTTTAAAAAGCCCCTCCCTTCTCCAACTTTACCTGGGGAAGCCATTCTGACCTTCAGGGGAGGAGAAAGGGAAGATGCAAAAGTGCTGAGGAGCTGTCCATCCTCCTTTCAGGTGCTGCAACCAGGGAAAGCCCTCCTTTCATCAGCTGCCTTTGCATAATTGATTAGAAAGCATCTTGTCTGATCCTGAATGAAATCTTGTCCAAATTCCACTCAGTCACAAAGTCCTTTATTTTATTTCATTGAATTTGAACATATGATTTCTGTATTGACGTTCCTCACAAATGAATTCCTATATTTCACCACAGTGGTATCTGTTTTTAATTACAACAGAATGTTGGAGAATTAATTGTTGAATTAACCAGAAAGAAACATAATTTTCATTTTTCAAAATTCCTTCTTTAAGAACGTAGCTGAATACCAACCCCCGCTTCTTTCTAAATGTATTATTATTGTTGCCCAATTATTCAATTTTCTGTCTTCATTCTACTTAATCTTTTTGTCTACATTACTTTTTAGAAATTAACACAGCATTATCTGCGTGTTTGCGTTTGTGTGTAGAGGTGTTATTTTTTTTTAAATGCACTTTATATGTATTAATTTGCTTATTGTTCTATTTGTTTTATTTACTTAGCTGTTTTCATTGTTTTAGTTAATGGGATATATTTTATTGTTATGCTTTTAAGTGACATTGAATTTTGCCATAGCTGTAAGCCACCTTGAGTCCCCTGCAGGGTGAGAAAAGCAGGGTATAAATGAAACAAACAAACAAACAAATAAATAATTTTATAATTATTTTTATTAATAGGTTTTGCAGAGTTTAAGAGAGAGATAGAGTATTTACATCGAAAGAGGGAGAACATGATTGCTACAGATCAGAGAATTGTAGGAAGAAAAAGATTAATGTTAGAAAAGGGGAAACACACCAAAGAGAAAGAAAAAAGAAATAAAAAGAAAGAAAAAAAGAAAGAAAAACATTTTTGACTTCCATCTAGTCCAGTGTTTCTCAACCTGGGGTAGGGACCCCTGGAGGGGTCACAAGGGGGTGTCAGAGGGGTTGCCAAAGACCGTCAGAAAACAGTATTTTCTGTTGGTCATGGGGGTTCTGTGTGGGAAGTTTGGCCCAATTCAATCATTGGTAGGGTTTAGAATGCTCTTTGATAGTAGGTGAACCATAAATCCCAGCAACTACAACTCCCAAATGTCAAGGTCTGTTTCCCAAACTCCACCAGTGTTTACATTTGGGCATACTGAGTACTTGTGCCAAGTTTGGTCCAGATCCTTCATTGTTTGAGTCCACAGTTGCTCTCTGGATGTAGGTGAACTACAACTCCAAAACTCAAGGTCAATGCCTACTAAACCCTTCCAGTATTTTATGTAGGTCATGGGGGTTCTGTGTGCCAAGTTCAGAAAACACAGTATTTTCTGTTGGTCTTGGGGATTCTGTGTGCCAAGTTTGGTTCAATTCCATCGTTGGTGGAGTTCAGAATGCTCTTTGATTGTAGGTGAACTATAAATCCCAGCAACTACAACTCCCAAATGACAAAATCCCCCCCCCCAAACTTCATCAGTATTAAAAATTGGGCGTATCAGGCATTTGTGCCAAATTTGGTCCAGTGAATGAAAAACATCCTGCATATCAGATATTTACATTACGATTCATAACAGTAGCAAAATTACAGTTATGAAGTAGCAACAAAAATAATTTTCTGGTTGGGGGGTCACCATAACATGAGGAAGTGTACTAAGGGGTCATGGCATTAGGAAGGTTGAGAACCACTGATCTAGTCTTTGTTGGTCTTTGATATCTTTTTCTATATTATAAAAGTATTTTACCTCCCCGGTGTTTCTTCTTCGATTATGATTTGCTCTTTTTCTGTAATGATCTCTATTTTCCATTGTCTAAAGTAGTCTTCTACCAGGTCCCAATTTGTACGTTTCTTTGGTGTTCCTTGGTTTGATGCTAGCCAGTATGTGAGTTTGTCCATGCTCGTTATCTCCAGAATCTTGTTTTGCCATTCTTCCCTTTGGGGTATTTGTTTCATTCACCACTTCTTAGCGAATACAAGTCTAGCTGCGGTAGTTAGGTAATTAAATAATGTTTCCTTATTTTTCTCTCCTTCAAAGTCCAGCATTCCTAGCAGAAAATATTCTGGCTTTTTTTAAATTTGTATTTTTAAGATCTTTTGAATGTTTTTTTGAATAATGTTCCAAAAGTCTTTGGCTTTTGGACAAGTCCACCAAGTATGAATGAAGGTACCTCCGTGTTGGTCACACTCCCAGCATTTGCTTGATGCATTTGTATAACATTTTGAGATTTTCTGGGGAGTTATGTACCATCTATGTACCATTTTGAGTAAGTTTTCCTTAAGATTATAAGAGTAGGTATATTTAATTTTTTGGTTCCAGGTTTTCTCCCATTGATTTAGTTCAATTTGGTGTCCTATATGTTGTGCCCATTTGATCATTGAATCTTTCATCTGTTCTGTTTCTGTAGCCCATTCTAGTAGTTTTTTAATATAGTTTTGTAATTGTTTTGTTTTCCATCTTCATAATAGTGTCCCAGAAGCTCTCTCTGTAAGCAAAGTCTACTTCTTTGTCTTTTTAAAGCAATTTATCATTTGTCTATAATTGAGCCATGTTAGGTTCTTAAAGTTTTCTTTTACTTCTTTTTCTTCTTTTAATTCATATTTACCTCTTTGTTTCTTTAGAATATCTCTATATGTAGGCTAGGTTTGCCATCCTAATTCTCTCCTATGGAAGGCTTCTAGAGGTGACAGCCAGAGGGGTGTATTTCTATACAGTCTTTTTAATATCTTTCCCAAAATTTTATTAGTACAGTTCTTTTATAATGATTATTTTAAAAATTCTATTTTGATTTTATCATACCATATGTAGGCATGCCAACCTCTTCTTAAATCAACGCCTTCTAATGTCAATATATTATCTTTTTTTAAGGGTAGTCCATTCCTTTATCCAGGTAAGAGCATAGGCTTCATATAAGTTCTTAAGTCAGGGAGGCCAAAACCACCCCTTCTCTTGTCATCAATTGTTTTATTCTTGGTTTTTTGCCTTTCCAAATAAATTTCAACAGGCCTTTTTCCAGGTGTTAAAAATACTCAAATTCTTAATAATTGGCAGGGATTGAAAAAGGAATAGCATTTTTGGCAAGATATTCATTTTAATCTCTGATATGTGGCCTAATAAAGACAATTTCAATTTTTTCCATTTGTCCAAATCTCTCTTGATTTCTTTCCATTTCTCTTCGTAGTTATTTTCCATCAATTGAGTGTTTTTAGCAGTCAATATTAATCCCAGACATTTTATTTTCTCTGTTACCTGGAAATCTGTTTGTTTAGAAAGTTTGTCTTTTTTTCTTTCGTGACATGTTTTTGGTTAATATCATAGTCTTTTTCTTATTTATTTTCAAGCCTGCTACTGTTCCGTAATCTTCAGATTTATTTAGCCAATTAGAGATACTTTTTTGGATTGTTAACAATGCAAATTATGTCATCTGCAAAGGCCCTTATCTTGTCATTTTCCTTGTTGATTTTAATTCCTCTTAAATTTGGATCTTCCCTTATACTATTTAATAAAATTTCTAGAGCCATTATAAATAGCAGAGGTGACAGAGGGCATCTCTGTCTTGTACCTTTGCTTATTTTGAAATTCCTAGATTCTTGTGTATTAATAATCATCTTGGCTTCTTGGGTATCATATATCGCATTGATGGTGTTTGTGAATTGATATACGAAATCTAATTATTTTATTAATAATTGTAGGAAGTCCCAATTGCCTGTTGGGAAGGAAACCTGCCTGTTCCTTCTTAATCCAATCTTTCAAGAATGTTTTTAATCTTTCGGCAGCAAAAATCTTATAATCTGCATTGCAGAGGGAGATAGGTCTGTAGTTTTGTACATCCCTTGAATCTGGATTTTCTTCATGCAGCATCGTTATATGAACTAGTTTCCATGAGTCAGGGAGTTTGTGAGGATCATTCAAAATTCCATTCATTATCTTTAGAAGGTGTGGTGTAACTTCATCTATCATTACTTTATAGTATGACATGGAGTAACCGTCTTTTAATTGCTCTTTTAACTTCTTCTTCTGTTATCTCTTTGTTTAAAACTTGCCTTTGTTGGTCTGTTATTTTTTGTAATCTCTGTTTGTTTAAGAAGGACATAATGTCTTCTTTCTTATCAGATCCCTGGCATAAAGCTTTTGGTAATATTTGTAAAATTGCTTTATTATATCCTGGTCATTTGTAAAAGAT